CCCCAAAACCCCAAAACCCCAAAACCCCAAAACCCCAAGATATCAAAATAATATAGAATTTGAAATAAAATGGAAGAAAATTCTGTGGTTGAAAGGGAACAAGGACTGAGGAAGAATGAGCTAAGTCAGGCTTCAAGGATCCAGACAACTTTGAAGTTGTCTGAGAATGAATCTCCTCTGTGATGCTTTGAAAATAGTGTGTTTAAGGAGCAGAATCATCCCAAGATTGTGTATAAGTTTGGTGGTAAATATGACCAAAAGAAGTTCTTCTTAAAATAAGACCAGGGTAGGAGACTCAATCATGAAGAAGAGCAAATAAGCTTCGTAAGATTATTAAGAACAACACACCTGGTTTCTTTTATGAACAGAATAACCTTAAGAACTCCAAGATTATCATCCAGAGTGTGGATGGAGTCCCTCTTTGGATCTCAGAGACTCAGAATAAGATACCTGACAGGCTCAATTTCTATACTCTCTTGTCTTTTGCATCCAGGCAGATATGTAAGTTTTTGGAAGCTATCTTCTTGCGTTTAATGTGTATCTTTAAGTTTCAAATAAGTCCCTTCAGGAATAACTTTTAGCTTATTAATATTATCAGAGAATCTGGGTTAATAATATTATACCATTGGCCATACTACCTTTTTATAAATCTTCACCTATCAGGTTTTTTACCTACAGTGTTAAAATTTTGGTAAATCTATAATTGTTGATTTGAGAAGACACCAAGGGTCTGAAATTAACAAGGATATCTTAGCAGCACAAATATCCCATCTAATTTTGTTATAGATCTGACAAATATGATATTGACAGGGAAAGATTTGGGTAAAGTTATAGTCTCCTCTTGTACTGTGGAGGAGCTAGTATTGCATAATTGCTGCCTACTTTGTAATTCTTTCCCTAAAATGCCTGATAAAACCTCGGAAATATCTAAGATAACACTCAACCATTGCTCTAATTTAAATGGAGAGGACTGGTATCAAGAGACACCATTTATTCAAAATCTGCTCAAATTCTTTATCAGTGAGATTTCTCCTCCTAAAAGAGGGCTTAAATCAGGTCTATGAAAGCGTAGTTCAGGGACAATGCCCTCGTCTAGAAATAAGAACCTTGGCAATTTATTGGAAGACTCTAATGGCTCTTCTAGTCCAACAAAAACCCAATGATTTTATAACAGATATCTTAACAAATTAGAGATAATAGAAATCGTAAACTTTCCAAAGATCCCTGAATCTCTATTTGAAGACTTGCTCAGAGGTTCCGAATGGAGAATGATTAGGTCACCACAAAAGATTGGCAAAGATAAGATATTTATTCGCAAGTGTGATGCTTACAGCAACCAGGCCCAGACCAAAAGTGAATTTGATGGTAATGGAAACTTTAAACTCAGAGTAAGCTTATTTCCAGATCATTTGTAAGATATATAGACCAAGCAACGGATTAGCCACGCCGCCAAGCAAGAAAGAGAATGATGTAATTGTAATATACAGTAATAATCTTGAGTTTCAATCGTCACACCAATAGTTGGGGTTTTGGGGTTTTGGGGTTTTGGGG